ACGTGCAGGTTTTTTTTTTTTTTTAATTTGTTTTTATTTATTGAATCTGCCCTGCCTAAGAGCCTAACAATAAGTTTTCGAATCTTAATCTATTCTCTTAATTTACATCCCCTAGTTGGGATGAGTATTTTCTTAACTGGCCCTAAGAAAAGATTACGACTGGGCTGGTAAGTCATTCCTACGTAGTCTTGAGGTCCTGTTGACACGCAATAAAGATCTTGCTAAATGATTTGGGTGCGCTAAAAGCTTCGATACATATTTCGTCTTCCGTTGTTCTATTTCGGTTCGTACTTCTGGTATTCTCAAGTCGCGGTGAATGTTCTCATTTCGCATATACCAAGGTGCTCCGGTGATTGTTCGAAGGATTTTAGATTGCGCACGACGAAGGATTTCGATGTTGCTGCTGTTCGCGTTTCCCCATAACTCACATCCATAGGTCCATATCGGTTTTAAAAAGGTGTTGTAAATAAGCACTTTATACTCCAGACTCAGGGGTGAGCGAGAGTTAATAAGCCAGTGGAGAGAATTAGCCTTCAGCTTGAGATGAGTCCTTTTAGCCACTATGTGGTTTCGCCAAGTAAGTCGCCTGTCCAGGTGGACCCCTAGGTAAGTGACATGATTGCTTTGTGGTATTGGTACGTTGTTTAAAGTCAAGGGCGGACAGTTACTCTTATTCAGTGTAAATGTAACTTGCTTACATTTTTGCTCGTTAACCTTTATTCGCCAGTTTGCGAGCCAATTGGCAACAGCTTCCATATGATTGCCTAGGAGCACAGTTGCTTGTAGAGGACACTTGGAGCGACTGATTATGGCAGTGTCATCGGCAAAAGTGGACATTATCAGGCGGTCGTTTGTAGGAATATCCGCGGTGTATAAGACATACAACATCGGGCCAAGGACACTGCCTTGTGGCACTCCAGCTTCGATTGCATGGGCTTCAGAAATGGTGGTGTTACATCGAACTGCAAACTTTCGATTATAAAGGTATGACTTAAGCAGTTTGTGTGTGGTTTGTGGGAGTAGCATTTGTATTTTATACATAAGACCATCTAGCCAGACGCGGTCAAATGCCTGGGCGACGTCAAGAAATATTGCAGCGAAATATTCCCTCTTTTCAAACGCTGTTCGGATTTCGGTTGTTATGCGATTTACCTGCTCGATTGTTCCATGTTTTTCCCTGAAGCCAAATTGGTGAAGTGGTATTATATTGCGGGTTTGCAGATGTGGGGAGATGCGCAGCATAAGAAGTTTTTCGAATAATTTCGACATACACGGTAGCAGGCTGATGGGCCTATATGAAGATGGCTGCGTTTTGTCCTTTCCGGGCTTTGGTATCATCACAATAGTCGACTTTTTCCATTGGTCAGGGAAATGACAATGTTTAGTGATTGCGTTAAATAGCATACAGATGCAAAGTACAGCACAATTTGGTAGCTAAATAATCATTTTTGGGGTTATTAAGTCGTGCCCTGCGGCCTTATTTGGTTGCAGTTGATCCTTAATTACTTTTGAAATTTCTTCAGGTACAAATTTCAGCGGCTCAAATTTTGACACATTGGGTACGGGTGGAAGTTGAAAATTATTAGTTGCGGGGTTTGGCCTAAAAACATTTTTTAGATGAGAAGCAAAGGTGTTTGCTTTTTCTGCGTCACTCCGAGCCCATTTGCCATTGTGGTCCCGTACTGGCATTTCAGTCTCTATTGGCGCATTTAGCTTGTGGTGTGCTTTCCATAACGAGTGCTTTGTGCTAGTCGGTGAGAGCTTTTGGATGTACCGGTACTGTGCGTACTGTTCCTCGTTCTTGAGGGCTCTCGTCAGTGCATGTGTGGCCGCCTTGAGCAGTTGTCTTGATGCTGGTGATCTATGAGTCTGCCATATCCGTCGTAGGCGTCGTTTTTCCAAGACAAGCATTTCAATTTTCCTATTGGTTAAATTATATTTTTTATTTTGCACATAACCTTTCTGGGGTGTGGAAATGCTAGCGGCTGCTCTAAGTGTAGATTCAAGAGCGGCTATGGAGTTTTCAATATCGGTCGGCGAATCTAAATTTGGATCGAGGTCTATATGCGCACTGATATATTTTTTATACTTTAACCAATTTGTAGCCCTTGTCGTGAGCATATAGGGTGACTCTTTTTCTTGCGGCTGATGCCACAAGGTGAAAAGTACAGGTGAGTGGTCTGATGAGAGATCTGCAACTGATTCTGTACTAATAAGGCCGCGAGGAATTTTCCTTGTCACCGCAAAGTCAATCAAATCTGGCAACTTTTGCGGGTCTACCGGCCAATATGTAGGCTTTCCAGGAGAAGCGTAATCGAGTTTGTTTCTTCTACATATAAGCGCGTTATATAATAGCTTGCCTTTAGGGTTGGGCAAGCGTGAGCCCCAGTGAGGGTGCTTCGCATTATAATCACCTGCAGCAAGGAAGCGCTCTCCTAGCGAACTGAAGAAATCCATAAACTGTTTTTCTGTTATCGTGAAACGTGGGGGACAATAAACCGCGGACAGCGTAATATCACCTTGCTTTGTTTGTACGCATATTGATGTTGCTTGCAGATAATTCTCGGCAATTCCAGTCAAATGATGGTGTTTAATCCGGTTTCTGACTAAAATACCAGTTCCGCCATGCGCCTTTCCATTGGATGATTCGTGCAATAAAAGGTATATCCCGAAATGTCAAAATTATATCTATTAGTTAGGTGTGTTTCAGCTAGGAGCATTATGTCAATTTCCTTGTCCTTAAGAAATTTTGACAGCTCTAGTTTGTGGCGAGGAATGCCATTTGCATTCCAGAGGGCTATTTTAAGTAAGGTCATTATCTTGTGCAGGTGAATATTAAAACCTAGTTTACGTAAGGTCTGTTGGAATAGATTCTAATAAAAACGCACACAAAATTGCTTAGATTGATGAGGAAAACCGACTTAGCCATACCCGATTAACTGGCCTTGTGTGCACAGGAAAATTCCAGCATAAATTTATTAATCACCAAACCTACTTAATCAAATTAAGGATTAATGATTACAAATTAATTTTTTTAATTGCGGTTATGATTAGCTGTTTAATCAGATTAAAATTAATCATGATTAACTGTAATCGGATTGAATTTAATCGAATTAACTAATTGATTAAAAAATCAATCGATTAGCGCAAACACTGCTTAGTACATACATATAGTGGTCCATAAAATAAAAGAATTGCGATATTTTGGCCGGTTTTGACATTTGGCATTTGTTTATTTAATGTTTATTATTTTTTTATAAAAGTCTATCTGGTATACAACAAACACCATGTAAATTCTGATTTCAAAGTTTCTACAAAAATTAGAAAAGTTTTGTAGGCCATTTAATTCTAGTATAATGAAGTGCAAGTTTCAAGCTGCTATAAGATCCCGTTAATTTTTAGCAATTTTTTTGCGGCAGTGTCCTCCATATAAAAGAAAATTGTCAAACATTCTTTTGTATGGAAAAAACGTGAAACACCTTCAACCAAAAGATTAATTTTTGTGAGCTATCTGCAAATGTTTTTTGATGTTGGGTGTTGTCT